AGAAATCATGTAGGTGTTGCCGTTTCTTTTTTGCAGTATGTAAATATTTCATGCCTAGCAGACGGAGAAAGTTTGTTACAGTCGAGTATAGTAAATCTACAGTAAAACTATACTGAGTGTTTTACTGTAATAGAAACCAAGAAGCCATGTTTTACTGTACTGATAAATAAATGAATCACAAATGCAACAGTGTAATTCAGTGGACTTAATTTTTTTTTGTCCACACAGTGCAATATCTACTGTATTACCCCTCCCCCCCAAAAAAAAATAATAATACGATCAATTACACCAACAAATAATACAAGTCCTGTGTATCAATGGCTCAGAATGTAAAACTGTAGGACTGGTCTAATCCATTCTGTCCTCAGCATTTGGCTAAAGATTTTAGTTCAGTATAGAATAATTGTGCTATGCATGTCATTTTAGTGTGTTAGCAAAGCCACATCATCCAAGACAACACCATATTCCACAACATTCAACGTGTCAGTCTGTCCACATTGGCTCGCATTCTCAAGCGAAACCAAATCAGCCTGAAACAATTGTATAACGTGCCTTTTCAGAGAAACTCTCAAAGAAACAAACAGCTCAGACGAGCATATGTGGATGTAAGTACAATATTGACTGCAGCCCATTACATGCAACATTGTTTCCCAGTGTACTGGATAACACCATATTGACTGATTTTTGTTCTTTGTTTTCAGGGAGTACTGGAAATGGATGCTCATGCAATCCCACATGAGTTCATCTTCATAGATGAGGCTGGTTTCAACCTAGCAAAGACCAGAAGAAGGGGAAGAAACGTCATTGGCCACAGAGCCATTATATATGTTCCTGGCCAACGTGGTGGGAACATCACAATGTGCGCTGCCATCTCCAATATGCATGGTGTCCTCCACCGTCATGCCAACCTTGGACCATACAACACAGGCCATATTCTAACATTTCTGGACAGACTCCATAACATTCTCATTCCACCAGAGCGTATGAATGATGCAGACCATGCAAGAACCCGGTATGTTATAGTATGGGACAACGTGAGCTTCCATCATGCAGCCCTAGTCCAAAATTGGTTTGCTGACCACCCACTGTTTCTCGTGCAATACCTCCCACCATTTTCACCATTTCTGAACCCCATAGAAGAGTTCTTTTTGGCATGGCAGTGGAAGGTATACGACCAGCAGCCTTATGTGCGCATGCCTCTTGTGCAGGCTATGGAAGAGGCATGTGATGAAATTGATGTGGGTGCGATTCAGGGATGGATAAGACACTCAAGGCACTTCTTCCCTTGATAATTTCCTGGGCTTTCCTCAGCTTTTGCAGAAAGTAGAGACTCTGCTGGGCTTTCCTGGTTATGGAGCAGGTGTTGAGAGAACAGGAGAGGTTCTCCACCAGGTGAACACCAAGGAATTTGGTGCTATTGATGACCTCCACGAATTAATATATTGATGACAAAACACAAGGCCATAGTGCATAGTAATGAATATTTATTTCACTCTATAATCAGACATCAGTGAAAACACCCAAACAGATGCACTTTGCACTGAAAATGAGAACAGAATATATTCTATAAAAATCAAATATAATTGTACATGCATAATGTACATACTATGTAAACATAACAAAAAAATTGTGGAGACAAAAAAAGAAAAACAAAACCCAAGCATAATCTCTTCAACTTGCTGGATCTGACCACACCACCTCATCTACATCACAGGCTATGGTCTCTGCTGGCTGAAACAAGAAATCTTCTTGCATGGTGAATCCATCCTTGCACAGACTCAACATCAATTTGGTCACAAGCTTCCTCCATGGCTTGAATGAGTGGTATTCTGAGCGGAATTCTGGTTCAGAGCTGGTGAACCTTCCACCGCCATGCTGAGAAAAACTCCTCAATGGGATTCAGGAAGGGAACGTATGGTGGGAGGTATTGCACTGGTGGATGCTGGTTTCTGTATCTGGTTTCACTAACTGTGTGTTAATTTTAATTTTTGTGTGTAAGCAATCGTAAAAAACTGGAAGAATCAAAGTGAGGACAGCAATTTGCATTTTACACAACTGCTACAAAAAAAAGATAGGTGAAGAAAAAAATGTGGTCAGCATCCCTATCTTTCAGTCTTTGCAAATGGTCACAGTGAGTAGCAGACAACCACAAAATAGTGAAGGAATACTAGATGAGGAAATATTTCAACATCGTGGGGTTGCTGTATGCTTATCTTTTAGTAATTTTAGAATAGCTTGATATGCATCTGTTACTGTTACTAATTATTTATGTTGGATTACAGGTTTTCTGAATTGCTAAAGCACATTTCCTAACATCTCCTCTCCTTTTCTCAAAACACTAAGCACAAACCCTAAAATTCAAGCTACACTCACAAAACATTTAACCCTTGCAAAATCAAACTATCTTCTCAAAACTAAATTATCTTTTCTCAAAAGCAAACACTGCTTTCAGATCACGCATCAAGTAAGTGCATAAACACTACTGAGCAGTCATTACACACTATAGCAAAAAACTGAAAACACTACCAGTCAAAACTGTTGCTGGTATATAGAGAAACTAAATAAATAAACCACTGGTTTCCGGCAACCCGGGGTCTGTCTCCAAGTTGCCTTCTGTTCATTACAACTTCATCCACATCACAAGCAATGTTCTCCCTTACTACACAACGGGGGACAAATCCTCTGCTGACATCTATCCATACCTTGACATC